GGGGCGGTGCCACTCGGCCCCCTGCTGCTGCCATCCAGAGATGCCAGTCCAGTTGGAGAGAAAGACGAGGGAATCCATAATGAGAAAATTAGTTACGCTGTTGAAATGCATAGGTGGCCCACAGGTAAGCAAGAGAAATGCCGGAGGAAGCAGAGCCCATGAGAACAGAGGAGGGATCAGGGACTCAGGGACGGGCTGGGGCTGTGTGGGGGAGCTGCCCGGTTGGGTTTCCTGGGTTCTAGGAGGAAGGGCTTTCGGGAGGTGAGAGAGCGGAATGGAGATCCCGCCTGAAACCAGCGCTCTGGGGATGCCTGGGCGGCTCAGGTGGTTGGGCGCCTGCCTTCGGCTCAGGTCATGATCCCGGAATCCTGGGATCGAGTCCCCGGACCGGGATGGAGCCCCCCATTGGGATTCCAGGCTCAGCGGGGAGTCTGCTTTTCCCTCTGACCCTCCCACCTCGTGCTTTCTCTCCCTCCCTCTCTCTCAAGTAATCAATACAACCCTTAAAAAATAATAGTAAAAACATAAAAACAAGAAAAGTGTCCAGGCAGATTTCAAAAAGAGCCTTTTAAAAAAAAAAGATGATTTATTTATTTGTCAGAGTGAGAGAGAGAGAGAGAGACAGAGAGAGAAAGAGCGCGCGAGCGAGCACAAGCAGAGCGGCCAGCAGAGGCAGAGGGAGAAGCAGGCTCCCCGCCGAGCAAGGAGTCCAATGCGGGGCTCGATCCCAGGACGCCAGAATCACAACCCCAGCCGAAGGCAGCCGCCCCACTGACTGAGCCACCCAGGCGTCCCTGAAAAAGCACTTTAAAAGTAAAAGAAACACCGTCATTGAAATAAAAGTCCCAACAGATGGATTGGACCCCAGACGGGTGCCGCTGAGGAAGGGGTTAGTGACCCGGAAGCCGGGGCCTCCGAAATGACCTCCTGCCCGGGTTCCCCTCTTGCTGGGCGGTGGGGCTCCTCCTTCCCTGGGAAACTGCAGCAGCCCCTCCTCAGGGCTCCAGGCTCTGGCTCTTCAAGGCGCCCCCGTCCTGGCTTCTAGGCTCCCCGGACGCCAACCTCTTCCCCCTTTGCCACTGCTCTGGGGGCGGCAGCTTCCTCCCGCATTACCTCTGTGACTCCAGTCGTCCAGTCCCTGAGTGACCGAGCCTCCCAGTCAGTCCCCTCGGTTGGGAAACCCTGTCTGTTTCCCGTAGCCTGACTCATGCCCGACGGATGCAGGATCCGCACGGGAAGGGGTCCGGGAAGACAGACCGCGGGGACGGAATGTGGGGGCAGGTCTGGTCAGCCCTGGGGCCGCAGTGCGGGGCTCGCTCCCGGCCAGTGGGAAGGGGGACGTGAGGCCCCCGTGGCCGGCAGGGGCCTCGTGGGTCGCCAGGCCCTCACCTACGGCTCACCGGGATGAAGGGCCAACCCCGGCAGTGAGCGCCGCGGGGAACCGGAGCGGCCACCGCCCTGGGTCGCCCGGGCGCGGCGAGGACGGTCATGAAGATGGGGGTGCGCGACGATCCCCGAGTGCACCTGAGAGAGCGCCGAGAAAGAAGGACGAGTCCGGGTTCCTTCCCTCTGGGCTCGGCTCATGTCACCCATATGACAACCAGAGAACTTCCACGAGGGCCCTACAAATTCCCTTAGTGCCTCTGCCTGCCAGGGTGGGCAGGGCCGAAAATCAAACAACGTTTAGTTGTGCGGGTTACAGAATCCCAAGGTCAGCGGAGTTCCCAGGTCGTGTTTCTCGTGTGAGAGAAAAGGCGGTGGTTGGAGGAGTGGGACCGCCACGCCTGGCACTGGGGCCTCTGGTGGGCCTCAGCTGAAGCTGACAAAGGGGTGACATCAGTCCCTCGGAGCGCCAGCATGCTGCAGGAGGGCAGAAATTGGTAAGAGCGGGGGCTGTACCTCTCCGCCCCTCCTTCCGGGTGCGCTTCTGGGTCCCTCCCTTGAGGGTTCTGTAACTCTCTGTGCGTCCTCCTCACGGAGTAGGGAATCACCGTGCGTTCTTTTCAGGATTCTGAAATTCCAAGCCACTGCTTTTCTGATCCCAAGTGCGGCTGGCTGGCTGCTCGGCGGAGGGAAAAGCTACCCGTCTCTTGTGGCCGGCAGGGCCGCAGCTGGGCCGGCACGCCGGTGGGTGGGCTGCTCTGCCAGAGAAGTCGGCTCCCGACCCCTTTTGCTCCAGAGGCCTGAGCTGAAGAGGGCGCTGTGTCGTGTATCATTTTCCTCGAACTTGGTAATGCACGAGGGCCTGGGACGCACACCTGTGCCACCACCCAACTTGCACCTCCACCCACCTCCACCCTCCGCAGCCCCGTGCCCTTGCCCCTCTAAGGCCGTCACCCCGCCACCAGCAGTGTCCCTTTCTCTCTGGTCATACCTCTTTCCATCGCTGGTCCGCCCAAGGTTAAGGGCAGTGCCCTGCTCCGATTGGTCCCTGGGTACCTGGGCCGTTGCAGCCCCTCGAAGCAAGGGGGCTGCAGCTAAGCCCCTGCGGTTGCTCGTCGCTTGGGGCGTTGCCCCCCTCCCGCACCAGCCTGGTGCCGGCGACGCTGATTGGCTGGCGCCCAATGAGTGACGGGACAAAACCCAGCGACGTGGCCCGGCTGCCGCCGGCTTTCAGATTGGCCGGTTCTGAGGGGGCCGCGGGGCTGGCCGGGAGGGCGGGCACGGCAGGAGTGAGGCGGTGTCAAATACATGGTGGGTAGAGGGAGTCCGGGTAGGGCACAGGCGGTCTGGAGGGGGTGCGAGCAGCCAGTGCTGCAGAGGGGGCTGGCCAGGCCGGGAAAGGCGGGGCCTATTCTCTGCCAAGCCCGGGATGAGGCCCCAAAGGGGCTGGAGTACGGAGCGGGAGCGGGGAGGCCGGGTAGAGGTGGGGGAGGGCTGGGGGATGGGGGGCGGGCTCAGGCTGGGCCTGGGGAGTAGGAACACACCAGGAAAAAGCCGTCAGTGCGGACATTTCCATGGGCCCTCCAAAATCCCGGCCACAGTCCTGTGAGGTATTATCACCATCATCAGCGTCATCCCCTTTTACAGATGAAACAAACTGAGGCCAAAGGGTCACAGCCCCAGCGTTCCGACGTAGGTCAGCACCTGCACCCTCGGACCGCGTGCTTCCTCCTCCGGGCGCTCGGCTGCTCTGTGCGCAGCAGCTGTAGCTGCCCCAAGTCCATTTCCTTCTCTGTGATCAGGCTCAGCCCAGCACCTGTCGGGCCCGAAGTTAGGCTTTTGGAAGGGGACTTTCATCCTGGGTCATATTTACTGTTCTATCCTTGTCGATCTCACCGGATGGGGCATTTCACACCTGAGCCCAGGCTGGGGTGGTGCTCACGCCTGGCCACGCATCTGACTCTAAGCCCAGTGGCTCTCCTGGCGAGCACTCCGTGCCTCACAGACGTCAGGGCGCCTTCGGTCGCGGGCTCCCGTTCCTCGCAGACCCGCTCGCTCTCACACGCACGCAGAGTAGTCAACAGAAACCGCGGGGCCGCAGCTCCACTCCTCGGTTCACACACACCCGAGCGAGCTGCAAATTCACACCCACAGGCTTGCGGAGGAGCGTCCGCAGCATCACTCACGAGAGGAGAGGTGAAACGCGCCCAGCGCCTGGCGGTGAGCCGCTGAATTGCAGAGCATGCGCGGGAAGGACCGCGTGCGCTCCCGACACTTGCTACCGCGTGCAGGAACCTCGAAGGCCCGCATGAAGCGAGAGACGCCAGCGCCCGCAAGGCCGCACCCCATACCATGCCCATCCTGCTAAGTGTCCAGAAGAGGCAAATCTGGAGACAAAATCCATGAGCGGTTGCCAGGGGCTGGGAAGGGGAGTGGGAGCCACTACCAAGGGGTTCAGAGTTTCTATCTGGACGCAGATGTCCGCAAAATGACCCTGGGGAGAGTTGTTCAACTTGACACGCATCCTAGAAACTACGGAACTGTGCGGTTGGAAAGGGTGAATTGTGTGGGGAGTGAGATGGTCAAGTAATTGAGGTCAAAATTTCCTTTGCTTATTTGTATTTTCTACAGTGACCCTGTATCAACCGTTACTTTTTTACAAAAAAATCCGTTTGATGTTTTTATGTGTTTGTATAAGGCTGTATTTTATCTATGGGCTGTCTTACACCGAAGCTGCTGGTTCTGCCATCTTAAAAAACAAGCACAGGCCAGGAAACCAGTTCAGTGATTTAAAAGCACAGGGGCAGAGCGAGCAGGCCCTGAGGGCTCCCAAGGGCCGGGGCAGCTCTGAGTTGCCCCCACATGCTCTAGAACAGACTCCTGATGACCACCAAATGAGGGCAATCAAAATTAGGACCACAACTATCAGACATCCCACTTGTCTGCTCCAGCCATCCACCTCCCGCCCAATACCCTTCCCCCGCGTCTTCTGCTGTGGGGAAGGGGACTCTCTTTCCTGGTTTAGACAGAAACTTTTTCCTTAACTAGAATTTCATCAAGGAGAAACCAAATCACACACACGAAGCACAAATAGAATAAAGCAGCTGTTTTTTTTAAAGGATTTTATTAACATTAACTAGTATGCTTATTTGAATATAATTGAGCTAACAGTTTGGTCACTGGGCAAACGAGACATTTCTGAGACCTCACAAAGTGTGCAGTGTGGAGACTGGAACTAGTTGTGTCCTCTTTTCACACAACAGTCACTGCGAGCAGCACAGGACATCCTGAGGGCTTTCGCTGCTGCTCCATAGCCTCTGCACCGTCGAGGGGAGATGAAGGCAAACACCAGAGGAGGTTCCAGTGCAGTGAAATCCCACGGTCCCCAGGGAGCAGCAGGTAGGATGGCAGCAGCACCCCGGTGGGGGGGGCAGGGGACCACAGGGCCACAAACCCTGCGCGGCACATCTACAGTGCAAGCTGCCCTTCACTTACAAGGAGAACATACACATTTGAGAAACTGATCCTACATTGATCCCCAGCCCAGTTCCCAGTTATCTTATCAGCAAACTTTCACGTGGTTGTTTTGTCAGCTATCGTCTTATGTGTAAGCTTATAACACACTCTACCGAATCAAAGATGAGAGTTACACTTGTATACGTAGTTACGGTTTAACAGAAGGTAGTTACAACTTGCTTTACTTTTTAATAACAAAACAGTATAGATTTAAATGATAGTCTGCCAACGGAGCATAAACATAAGGTAGAGAAGCCAGTCTTCTACGTCTAATGCCAACTAATGTATTTTAGTTCATCAACATACACTTCACAGCCACTATGATATGTCTAGCACTGACTCCGTACATGTCCAGCAGCTCACTGGGCTTCCCACTCCGAGGCACCGCGGGCACTGCCAGCTGATGGACCAGGATGTCAGGCTCCATGGAGACGGCTGCACAGACAGCCTCCCCAATGCCACCTGGGGAAACAAAGGACAGGAGGCTCTGTTTTGATAGTGGCTAGTCAGCCTTAAAGCCCCAAAGTATAGAGGCCTTTGAATTTGCTGGTTCCTAGGGAAAAATATTTTTCGCTAGCCACTGACTCATGAAACAGCCTTCTCTGACTAGCCAGAGTTCTCATTCAAAACTGTGGGTCTCCAGGGGCGCCTGCGTGGCTCAGTCGGTGAAGCATCTGCCTTTGGCTCAGGTCATGATCTTAGGGTCCTGGGATCAAGCCCCGAGTTGGGGGTGGGGTGTCTCTGGTCAGCAGGGAGTCTACTTCTCCCTCTCTCCTCCCCGCAAATAAAATATTAAAAAAAAACCATAAAACCTATAAGTCTCCAAATTGCTCCCAGCCCCATTACAGCAGGAGCGCTTTCAGCTGGGGCTCCACAGACTTAGGGGGCTACAAGCTCAAGTTCTTAAAGCTGTCGGGAACCCCAAAATGATTAAAGCAACCAATCAACTATACAGACAAGAACGGCCAGGCAGGCCTGAAGCTTCGGCAGGGCTGCTTGCAAGGCTGGCACTTGGCTGACACCTGGGTGATGGGCTGGTGCAGGGCCCTGGGAGCGCCTGTTTTCCCCTGGGAGTCAGGAGGTTTGGTGTGTGGCAGAGGGAGCCTGTGTGATTGGTGCCCAATAAAACCCAAGTGCTGAGGTCTTGAGTGGGTTCCTTGGGTCTCCAGTGATGCAATTTCTCACTACTGGAGAAGGGAAAGCACTCAGCAGGCCCCTCACAGAAGGGAGGGAAGGAGCCACAGGGGTGGGCTTCTCCGCAGGTTCTCCTGGGCCCAGGTGTGTGTCCTTTCCCTACAATAACCTCAGTTGCGAAAGCACTGAGAGTGCTCCTAGAAAATCACTATGGATCACAGTTGTGCTCTTGGGCCCACGCACACGACCATATGGAACTCCCTGTAGCCTCATATGCCTCACCTAACCTTCCCAGCCCCCTCTCCCAGGCTCACACAGTTTTTCTGCATTTGCTGTGTTCTCTGCTTGCAAGGCACTATTCCCCTTTTGGGAAGGGAGCAAATTAACCATTCAAAACTCAAGCACAACTGTCAAGATTTTTAAGACCCCTTCCTACCCACAATGCCGTCAGACAGTCTTCTGTCTGCCACTGAGCCACTCGGCACCAGGCACGGCGCTGTGCTGGGGTCACACAACTGAGTATGGGGATGGCCCCGCCCTGAGGAACACGCGTAGGTGGGTAAGAGACCCCAAAAACAACGCACTTGCAAAGAGCAGTAATAACGGTTGTCGGAGGAGCACCTGGCTGGGTGACACCTGGGGCATGTCATGCTTCCAGTCACGGAAATCAAAAACACATCCTGCCAAAGCCCACTTTCACAATGACCCTCAAGGCCTGCACGTACCTTCTGGGTAGTGGTCCTCCACTGTGATAATACGGCCGCCTGTGGCTCTGGCATTAGAGACAATGGTGGGAACATCCAGGGGCTTAATGGTAAACAGGTCGATGACACGGATAGAAATATCTGGAGAAGAGCAATAACCAGCTTTGTATGTGAAACGGACTTAGGAAAAAAAGACCAAGTGGGGCACGTGAGGCAGACCAAGTCCTACCTCTCCCCAACTTAAACATCAATGTCCTGCAAAAACCAACTGACCTTGCTTAGAAAGATCTTCAGCAGCTGCTAAGGCTTCATGCAGAGTAACTCCAGCTCCGATAACTGTGACTTTGTCATTGACACTCTGGCGGAGGACCTGGTATTATGCCCAGAGAGCAAAAAAGCTGTAGTTACTTGTACGCAGAGCGTATCTCAGAGAGAACACTACCAGGCTGCTCTTCCCCAGTCCTACCAATTTCACTTCTTAATAATTCACTGAATTAAAAAAGCTGAATCAGTACACTTACAAGGACACCCTTTTTTTAAAAAATATTTTTTTTAATTTATTTGACAGAGATCACAGGTAGGCAGAGAGGCAGGCAGAGAGAGAGGAAGGAAAGCAGGCTCCCCGCTGAGCAGAGAGCCCGATGCAGGGCTCCATCCCAGGACCCTGGGATCATGACCTGAGCCGAAGGCAGAGGCTTTAACCCACTGAGCCACCCAGGCGCCCCAAGGACACCCTTTTTGATAAGCCTTCCTTCATGTTCATTTTTACAAATTCATCTATCATGCTTCATGATTTATGGTGTCTAATTACTAAGTTCTTAGAGAATACCCTTTACAAAGAAGGCAGATTTCAAACTGGGATCTGAAAGGCAGAAGGCCAGAAGCGAGTCATACGGGCCACGAGCTGCAGACCACAGACTCAGTACAGAGGGTCTAGAAGGGCACCACCCCTGGACAACTTGGACATTTTGTTGGGACATTTACACAGACTGGACTCTGATAATGAACAAGTTAATGGGGGATCATTTTGGGGCATTTGCAACATGCTCTGTGCCAAGGACCTTGCATGCCAAAGCGCCCTGTTTAAGGCCAATGCACTAGGGGCTCATTCTGTGGTTGGCGAGAATGAATCTCAGAGTGGGAGAAACTTGCCCAGCTTAGAGACTAGCAGCCAAGCCCATCTGACATCAAAGCCCACACTCTGAACTGCTTGCTCTTCTGCAAGCGAAGATAGGGCACTAGCCTTTTTTCATAGAGTTTTATTTACTCCAAAGCCACCCAACCAAAGGCATCTGAAATTATTCATTTCAGCCCTTTGTATAGGTTTCCTTGTAGCTTAAGAACCACTGCTGACAGTACAAATACTCAGGGCTTCTAAGCCACCCCATTCTTTGAGAATGTTCTAGCCTTTTCATATGCATACATATAAACACGCACAGTCGCCCCTTAAGTCCTCTTTGCAAAGCCTAGCTCTTGAATTGTCCATGCCATGCACATTATGAGACACATTTTAACTCACATCCTTTACCATTTGGAAACTTACTTCATTTTGTCAGGATGGGGCAAATATTAGGGAGAAAAAAAGACAGGCTTTGAAAAAGCTCTGCAAATCACATGATGTCTCTGAGACCCCCACCCACACCTCCAACCTCAAAGGCAAACATATGGCCTTGAGTTTCAGTGTGGGAGTGTGGGTGGGGAACAGCAAAAGCTGTAGCTAACACTGGAGGTGAGTACTGCTGCTTTCTCATTCAATGATGCTCAGCTACCGAGTAGCAGGTCATGGACTGTTCTGCATATACCTGCTTTTTGTGGCACTAAAGCCAATCACTGCTCAGTTATTCTTAGCACTAGAAACAATGGCTTCTGGCTGTTGGGGTGCCTGGGTGGTTCAGTCCTTAAGCATCTGCCTTTGGCTTGGGTCATGACCCCAGCATCCTGGGATCAAACTCCCTATCAGGCTCCCTGCTCAGCCTTCAAAAAGGCAGGAAGGAAACATGCCCAAACACCTGTAAGCCCTCCTCTCCAAGTGGTGGAGCAGAGCCACTTATTTTCGCCACAGACTCCACTGGTTTTCTGCACACATGGTCCCGACAGAGGCCAGGTCAATGCCTGGGTCTGAGTTTCGGTCTTGCAGCTCACGACTGTGTATCCTGACTAAGCTGCTCACCTTCTCTCTCATCTACAACTCAGGGCTGCTGCTAAGTCTGTGCTTCTAGGGCTCTTGTGAGAACACAGAAGATCGGGAGTGCGCAGTGATGCTAGTGCCTTTATCAGGCCCGTAGGCAATGCATTCATATCTCTCTTTTTTTTAAAAGATTTTATTTATGTATTTGACTGAGATCACAAGTAGGCAGACAGGCAGGCAGAGAGAGAGGGGGAAGCAGACTCCCTGCCGAGCAGAGAGCCTAATGCAGGGTTCCATCACAGGACCCTGAGACCATGACCTGAGCTGAAGGCAGAGGCTCAACCCGCTGAGCCACCCAGGCGCCCCATTCATGTTCCCTTTTATTCTTGGCTTGGATCTGTAAAATCCCAATCTAATAGATCTAGTATTAATTTGAAATGGGTTATATTACTTGTTTCGCTTGAGGCTGTGATAATTTACACCCAAAAAACTCAAGTACCTTTAAGTTGTTACCACTTTATCCTTACAAGTTTAAAAAAAAAAAAAGGAAACTCATCTGGATAACAGAAAACTTTACCTCCACTGACAGTGGTAGAATGTTCCTTTCTGAGCAAAAGCAGGCAAAGGTCAATTAAAACAAACTAAAACGAAGAATAGATCAAGCCTTGACTGTGGGGATAGGTAGTGCTAGCTTCAGACCACTTGTCTCCACATGAAGGGACACTGGAAGACACTGGAGAGCTTTTAAGGCCTTACCTTGGCCTGTCCGATCGCAAAGCTTTCTTGCGGGTCGTAAATAACCGCGGTTTCTGGTCGGCTGGTCCGGACATAGCACATCCCCTAGGGTATAACACCAGAGCCACATTAAAAAAAAAAAAATCAAACTAAATGTCAACTAATAAACCTGTTTTAAAAAGGGGAGAAGGACCCACTCACCCGGCTTGTGTTCCCTCTCTAGCTGTGTTTCTGACAACTAAATAAATAAAATCTTTAAAAAAAAAGGGGGGGGGGGAGGAAGAAGCCTAAACAGTTCTTTTTACTAAAAATGAAGCGAACATTTTGGAGTAAAGAATAAGCGTCTACAACCACTGGCAAACAGGTCAGCGTCACCAGATCAGATTACTACCAAGCCAGGCAAAAGTCTACGCAAGACCCAGGCAGACGCCGCCAGCGACAAACTCTCTGTGCTGTCACAGGCAATGGTAGGAAAGCTTTCTTAAATACGCGGACTTGTTCGGTCTCCACAGAACGCAAATTCAGGCCATAGCATGGACTCATGTTTAACAGAAAGCTAAGTTAAGCAACTCATTTTTGCCACAACTTGTAATACTTCATTCTTGAAAATACCTTACACACTAGAATATAAAAAGACTATTTTACCCATGAGAAACGTAAGTCAGTACATTCTTGAACACATACCGCATAAATGAATACTCGAGTGTCTGAAGTTTCTATACGCTATAGAAGGACATACTGGTTTAGGGCACTTGTTCTGTCCATCCCTTCACACCATAAATCAATTCTAGTCAGTGTTTTACCGACGTGAAGTTGACTTAAGTGCAGTACTCCACGAATTCTGACAAAGGCGTATACCACGTAACTGTCACCCGAATATGAATAACATTTGCACATGCCAGAAAGTTTCCTCATGTCTCTCTCCACTCTCCCCACCTGAAAAGCAACCACTAATTTCTATCACACATTTGCCTCTTATGAACTTTCGAGAAATTGAATCTTGCAGCAGAGATCACTCTATATATGCACAGTCATAAAGCAACTTCCAGGATGTAGTAAGTAAAAAAATACAGAACAATACATACAGTGTGAGCCCACTTAGGTTAAAAAAAAAAAAAAGGCCGGGACGCCTGGGTGGCTCAGTTGGTTGGACGACTGCCTTCGGCTCAGGTCATGATCCTGGAGTCCCGGGATCGAGTCCCGCATCGGGCTCCCAGCTCCACGGGGAGTCTGCTTCCCTCTCTGACCTTCTCCTCGCTCATGCTCTCTCTGTCTCTCTCTCAAATAAAAAAAAAAAAGGCCAAAGAATCCTAGGCCTCTAATGAGTCGGGAATGCTTAGGAACTTGCATAACCAACCCCACCCATGCCCAGCGCTGTCTCTGCAGGGCCATGGGTAGGTGCAAGGATGGGTAAGGACGGGAGTCTGGTGACCACCAGTTGGAACAGATGAAAAAGTGCAGACTCTAGTCTCTAGTCGTCCCTGTAGCTGGGTTCTAGACAGGAATCAGGGTGAGTGCGTCTGCTGTCCTTGTGTGAAACTTGAGGAGGAACAAGTGGGGGCAGAATGCACACTCTTGCCCTTCTAAGATGTTCAGAGGGCAGACCAGGTCTGAGGACTCTGAGGTTTGTTTGCAGTGGAGACACTGGGCACTCTTCAGCTTTCCGGATGTCACAAGGTGGTGACACCATGAGGTGTATCTAAGAGCGGCATTCGACAGCTTCCTGCTGGAGCCTACTCCTGTGACATTGCTGACAGTTCCCCACTTTTTGGAGCCTCCAGAGCACCCTCATTTCTCATGCTGAGCCCTGCCCTGTATGGGCCATCAGATGCTGTCTGGCATTGTTTTGCACTTTCACAACATGACTGTGTTCATGTTTTATGTGTGTCATCACTTTTGAATAATTGTTCTTTTTTAAGATTTTATTTATTTGACAGAGAGAGAGAGTAGGCAGAGAGGCAGGCAGAGAGAGAGGAGGAAGCAGGCTCCCTGCCGAGCAGAGAGCCCGATGTGGGGTTCGAACCCAGAACCCTGGGATTATGACTGGGATCATGACCTGAGCTGAAGGCAGAGGCTTTAACCCACTGAGCCACCCAGGCGCCCCCAATTGTTCATTTTCTTTTTTTTTTTTTTAAATCCTCCGTTATCTTCCGTAATGAATATCTATCATGTGTATACTGAGAAAAACGGGAGAAACCCAACAATCAGTAGCAAACTAGTAGCACACCCCAAAAGCATTTTCTGCTTGAACCAATGTCCCCTTAAAAATACCTTGGTATTCGCTGCCAGGAGAACAGCATGCTCCGTTGAGGTGGCGTCACTCGGGTAGAAAACAGTGCAGTTGGGAATGGATCGGAACATGGCCAGATCCTCCAGGGCCATCTGGGAGGGACCATCTTCACCTAAGAAAGCAAAGCCACAGTTGTGCAAAAAGAAAGCCCAACATATGCCACGACAGCCTAGCTCTTGCAGCTAGGAAAGGACTATTACTGTGCACGGTGCCTTGCCTGGGACAACTCTCTAATCTCAGGACCCTAGCTCCTCCGGTTGGACCTAGAGCGACTGTGTCACTTAGCTGACTGATTTTAGTACTTAGACACACCTGGCCCCAGGCAAAGACTCTGGGCGAGTCTGGAGTCTGGGCCAGGCTCAGTCCTGAAAAGCTGCGGGCCTCGCTCTCCCCCCACTCTGCACATGGCATCTGCCCGTTGAGAGACTTCTCCCAGGAAGTCCCAGAGAGGACTCCGAAAGTGCACTCCTGGCCCTGTTCCCCTCCAGCATTCTAGCAGTGTACACAAGTTGTCACATCTACCCCGAGGACCTACACCACCACAGGCACACCGGGCACCTCATCTTTCTTGTCATTTTTGTCATTCATGAACACAATCTCCTGATGTCTCTCAAGCAAGAAATTACTGGAGACCATTTTTTAAAAAAACTTTTTGTGCAATTTTGGACTCCTCCACCTGTCAGCCATGTTGACCTCTTTATTCAGACTCTCACAGAGTAACCCTCACTTTCTATCTACTGCTAATACACACCACATCTCAATCCTTTTTCCGACTTCCTGTTTCTCCTTGCTTCCATCTAGCCTGTCCTGCCAGGTTAATGCCCCAGAGCTATATTTCCCTCAGCCCCACTCCTCTGTATCCCACTCTTCAAGGGTTCCATTTCCATCTGACCAGACAGCTCAGCCTAGGCAGAAAGCCCTGGCAATCTGTGCTCCTCACTTCCTGGACTCATGCTGCTTGTCCCCGCTTAGACAAAGGGCACCACACTAAGAGCAGAAAGAAAGTCTGATCATTGTTTCTCAATGACTGAAAGAGTGGGCACTTACTTTGAAGTAACACCAAGAAATCCTCTCAAAAGTAACCCAGAGTGTCTAGAACTTTTAAAATACAACACAGCAGGAAAAATGACAGATTAGAAATAATCAAACATCATGGAACCCCCAAGTACATTGACAGGTCAACCACTCACATGCTAATCTTTCTCTGTAAAGGAAAAAGGCTAGCAAAAGGAGGATACTAAGAACGCATACCAACGGATACTCCACAGTGGGACCCAATAAGATTAATGTTGATTTGAGAGATGGCTCCCATCCGAATTTGATCAAATGCTCGGGTCAAGAAGGCAGCGAAGGTGCTAGCAAAAGCAACGGTCCGACCACGGGTGGCACATCCCAGTGCCACGCTCACCTGCAACGTAAAGGAGACGAATCAGAACACCCCTGGAACGGCTGCCAGAGAAGCACCATGAATGAATGTACGGGCCGGCGGAGGCAGGGACGTGGCTAGCTGGCTGTGGACACCCATCTAAAGGGGGTCCCTGCTTGGCTCCAGGCAACTGGTAGCAGGAGGGAATGCTACCTCTGTGCTGACAGATCTTCCTAACACCTAAAGCTGCTGACAAGCTTGGGATACTTTGGGCCTAGAGCCTTGGTGTCGTGGCTGTGACTCGGCCTGCTGCCCTTAGTATACCTGGAGATGGTTCTGTCTACTATGACCTTCCTAGTGGTCCCATAAGGCACCCCACAAATTGCCTGGCTACTCTCTACTTGTTTCCTCAGAGACATTTATTCTCCAGTTCCTTTGCTTTTTTAAGTGGAAAGAAAAACCTTAATATGGGGCTCGCCTCCTGTGCCCAGCAGGCCACTGTCAGTGAGAAGACCCAAGAGGGACACCCACAGCACACGCACCATGTTCTGCTCAGCAATGAAACATTCAATGAAGCGCTCAGGGTGTTCTCTCTTGAATATGTCTGAGAAGGTGGAGTTCTTGGTGTCACCATCCAGCACAATGACTCTATCATTTGCATGGCCCAGCTTAGCCAGAGCCAAACCACATGCTCTCCGAGTAGCGATCTGGAAAAGTCAAACAGTGGAGTTTCTTAGAGCAAATTTAGAAGGAAGGTGAAATTTTGTGATTACCAGTTGTCTTCTATCTTAGAAACAAATTTGTGATTTACCAATAATCTCCTTTAGGGTTTTAAAAATGGGTTGCTAGCCCATCTTAAATCCATACCTGACTCACTGGGTATCAATTCTCAAAAATAAACTTATTCTTCTGCCCCATTCATATAGTTTACCAAAAAACTTAAATGTCACCAAATGCAAATGCCTGTTGACTTTTTAAACTATAAAACCAATAAGGCTAACTGCAAAAAAATAAAATGTAAAACTTTAAAATCATGATACCAGTAATAAAAAATTCCGTTAGCATATTATTTGACGTTGGACTGAATTTATGAATTAAATTTAGGGGAGAACTGACATCGTCACATTACTGCATTTTTCTATTAGAAATCAAGGTTTGGCACTTCCTCAAAATGTTAAACAGAGAATTACCGCATGACCCAGCAGTTCTACTCCCAGCTATATACCCAAGAGAAAAATGTATCTCAGCAAAAACTTGCACACAAATGTTCAAAGCAGCAGTATTCACAACAGCCAAAAGGTAAAAACAACACAAACATCCATCAAGGATTGAAAAGGTAAACAAAATGTATGGTATATTCATAAAATGGAACACTGTACATGCCACAAGGATAGACCTTGAGAACACTGTGTTAAGACAAATCAGACAAAAAGTTAACATATTATATGACACTCTTTAAAGGAAATATCCAGAACAAGCAACTTTACAGAAACAGAATGTAGATGAGTAGTTACTGGGCCTGGATGGAATGGACAATGACTGCTAATGGGTGTGAGGTTTTTTTCTAAAGATTTGAGAGAGCAAGCGAGCACGATTTGGGGGGAGACGGTCAGAGGGAGAGGGAGTAGCAGGCTCCCCACTGAGCAGGGAGCCCAATTCGGGACTGGATCCCAGGATCATGACCTGAGCCCAAGGCAGATGCTTAAGAGACTGAGCCCCCTAGGCACCCTGGTGGGGGGTGGTTCCTCCAGATAGTTTCAGGATTCTGTTTATATGCTTAAAACCATTAAACTATACACTTCAAATGGATGATTGTAATATAGGGAGTCATTTCTCAATAAAGCTATTTTTTTTAAAGATTTTATTTATTTATTTGACAGAGATCACAGGTAGGCAGAGAGGCAGGCAGAGAGAGAGGAGGAAGAGGGCTCCCTGCTGAGCAGAGAGCCCGATGTGGGGCTCGATCCCAGAACCCTGGAGTCATGACCTGAGCCAAAGGCAGAGGCTTTAACCCGCTGAGCCACCCAGGTGCCCCAATAAAGCTATTATTTAAAAAAAAAAAACAAACTTTGCTTGTCTTTTTTTTTTTCATTTGTCTGAACACTTAATGTTTTTTGGAGGGGCGGGAAGGGCAGGGAGAAAAAGAGGGAGAAAATCTCTAGTAGGCTCCATGCCCAGCTCAGAACCTGATGTGGGGCTTGATCTCACATCTCTGAGATCATGACCTGAGCCGAAACCAGGAGTCAGATGCTTAACAAACTGAGCCACCCAGGTGCCCCTATTTTTAAAAATAAACAATTCATGTAGACAGTACAAAATTCAAGTTCTGAAAGGCTATGGAGCAAAGTGACCATTTTCTTCCTGATCTTTTGTCCCCTAGCCATCCAGTACCCTGTCCAGAGGTTGACAGAAATGAGTCTGTGCAGCATCTTTTTGGAAATGATCTACGAACAAATATCTGTTGACCACCCAGGTGCCTCCTTTTAAGATTTTCTACACAAAAAGAGAATTATCCTCTATGCTGCTTTACTTTATTTTAAAGATTTTATTTTTTTATTTGACAGAGAAAGACATAGCGAGAGAGGGAACACAAGCAGGGGGAGGGTGAGAGGGAGAAGCAGGGAGCCCACTCAGCAGGGGAGCCCGATGTGGGGCTCGATTCCAGGATCCTGGGATCACGACCTGAGCTGAAGGCAGTTGCTTAACCTACTGAGCCACCCAAGTGCCCCTGCTTTACAACTTAAAAAAAAATTTAATAATAGTGCACCTGGGTAGCTCAGTCAGTTATGTGTCTGCTTATGGCTCAGGGTCATGATGGGGGGGGTGTTCCCTGTTTAGCGGGGAGTCTGCCTCTCCCCTTCCTCTCCTTCTGCTCCTCCCTGCTCATGCTCTAATAAATTAAATTTTTAAAAAATTTTAGTAATTTGCGCAAGCTCTTAGCTTCTATTCTAGTTGGGTCATTTCCGTTTCATCAGCATTCAAAGCTGTAATCTTCATTCTTTTTTTTCCCCCCACAGCGCTCATCATAGCACATACTCTCCCCAGTGTCCATCCCAAGCCACCCCATCCCTCCTACCCCCCTCCACTCCAACAACCCTCAGTTTGTTTCCTGGGATTAAGGGTCTCTCTGGTTTCCTCTTGTTTCATTTTTTCCTCTCTTCTCCTATGATCCTCTGCCTTGTTTCTCAAATTCCACATATCCGTGAGATCATATAATTGCCTTTCTCCAATTGACTTATTTCACTGAGCATAATACCCTCTAGGTCCAAACAATGACATTCATTCTTAGGGACACATCTGCATACTTCTGTAGGATAAATTCCCGTGAGCTGTGCTAGGAGTTCCAAGTGTGTGAACAGGTGAAGTGTTGCCAAAGTGTCCTTCATTAATATGTGCTTCTTCCGGATTACCACCTTTCTTCTGCTTTTTAATTTGTTTTCTAATTTCTTGAGTTGTCAAAATTCATTTGTTTTAACCCATATTACCAGACCAAGAAAATACAAGCAACACTATACATGTCTCCAAATAAAGAAAGAAAAGAAAAAAGGATTAGAAAGTATTTCCTTCCTCTTGGGCTCATCACCTTGTTTCCTTAGGTCCTGAAGACACTGCCTATTTTGGGTCTGCTGTATTATACCAAAAGGCAGGATATAAACATGGTAAAAGGCTTTATGGTCAGGGTTTCATGCCTAATTTGTTTCCTTTTTGCAGAATTGGTCTTTGATGAATTGACCTACTTCTTTCTATTAATCTAGGGAGTAAATTTAAAAACTTGGCCCAGCCAGGTGCCCACCCTTAGACCAGACACAAAACAGTGGCAGTTTCAAGCTCATGAGACTGCCAGACCACAAACTGAATTTTGCAAGCAAAAGCTGTGCAGTACTAAGTACTAGTAAATACTGAGTATTAGTAAGTACTAGGTACTAGTACATTTTTTAGTAAGAAAATTCAGACCTAAGTTTGAATGAAAGAATTAGGTATCAGATATACTAAAAGAGTGCCTGGGTGGCTCAGTCCGTTGACCGTCTGCCTTCGGCTCAGGTCGTGATCCTGGGGTCCTGGAATCGAGTCCTGTATTGTGCTCCCTGCATTGGCCTCCCTGCTCTGCTCACTGGGGAGTCTGCTTCTTCCTCTGCCCCCCTCCCTCCCGCTCATGCTTGCTTGCGCTCTCTCTCAAAAATAAGTAAAATCTTAAAAAAAATTGTAAAAGATGGGGCGCCTGGGTGGCTCGGTGGGTTAGGTCTCTGCCTTCGGCTCAGGTCATGGTCTCAGGGTCCTAGGATCGAGCCCCGCATCGGGCTCTCTGCTCAGCAGGGAGCCTGCTTCCCCCCCCCCTCTGCCTGCTTGTGATGTCTCTATCAAATAAATTTTAAAAAATAGTAAAAGATACTAAAACCACCTCTATTACTTATAACCTTTAAGTTACATGTCATGCGATCCAATAACTGGTTCACCCATGGAGATTAGAGCACATGAAGAGTCCTGTCGTGTATTTAAAAATGAGAACAATATAGTTTGCCTACCTGCTCGCCGACTTTGTAAGCAGGCGGAGAGCTCATTTCTATATCAGTGATGTTGATTTGAGGAGAGTCTTCAATAGGGGGCTTTGGGTCAAGATTCTTGTTAGTCTGTATCTGGCTCTCAATTAGTTTGATAATTGCATCAGCTCTTTCCTTTGGCATTGGCTTTCCATGCCAATTTTCTGCATCTTCAACACCTGCAACCCAATAAAAGACATTCGTTCCATAAGTATATGTAATTGAGTGTCTGTCCACCACAGAGTCACAGGAGCAGACACCTGACAAAAAGGGAGCCTGAGCTTGTACTGCAACTGCAGCCTCACAGGACAGCCTGAAACATCCCAGCAGCTCTCGGGGGAGGCCTCTGGCCCATATACTGGTAAATGGAGGGAAGAGAGTGGGAGATGAGGCTGGAGAGACAGGTAGGGTGGACCTTGGAAGATCCTGTGGGTATAAAGAGTTTGGGTTTTGCCAGAAGCAAGACAGGAAAACACAGAGGAATTTGGAGAGGGGAGGTGACTGGTGCGGAGCAGAGAGCCAGATGTGGGGCTCAATCCCAGGACCCTGGGATCATGACCCGAGCCGAAGGCAGAGGCTTTAACCCACTGAGTCACCCAGGCGCCCCCAGAACAGTTTTATTCTAAAGCACTGATGAAAACACGGAGCAACCACACACCCTTTGTGACTCTTTATACTTGAATAAGCTCAGGTGTCGGCTTTGAAATCTGCAAGAATTTAAGACTTTCAAAATGCCCTTCCTTCCCTGACCCTCAGTTCCACAGGTGCTGCTTCTCTAGCGCCTTGTGTATCCTCCAAGACAGCATGGGCACAGGCAATGGTGCCTGCACAGATGCAGGCCCTTATTGGCTTGTCTGCTTATGTGCACAGTAGCACTCTTTCTCACGCTGCACTTCTGTGCAGATCACTCTCTACCAGTTCTCTAACTGATGGACTGCCCTCCTAGCCACTCCCTCCAGCACACAAAAAATCATTGCTCTTGTGCTGGGGGTCTGGGCTTCCCCTCTGATCCTAATCAGACCTGCTACCTATAAGGGCTAAGGGAAGCAAGAGCCTCCAGCACATATTACAGGCATCATCTCTGAACACGAAGCCAGTTGGCCTGCCTTGCCATCATGAGCCTCCTTCTGCCACATTGCTATGCACACAGATGTTTTTAATAACCCTAAGCAAAAAAAACATTTGCTTACTTGGAATGCCCCGGCCCTTGAAGGTCTTGGCAACCACAGCAGTGGGCTTGTTCTTCACCTGACTCGCCTGCCAGAACACCTGGCACAGCGCCTCCACATCACGGCCGTCCACCACGTAAGTATTCCACCTGCCAACCCAGGAGAAGGCCAGGTTACAAGGTAAATGGGGGACTGGGCAGAAAGAAGGTGGCATAAAACAGGACACAGTTACCCAAAGGCTTCACAGCGCTTCTGATAGACTTCTATGCAATGCTCGGGGGGCAGGGCGCCACTGTGGCCCAGGCGGTTCACATCGAAGACGGCCACAAGATTGTCCAGATTGTAGTGGGAAGCAAAAGCCAACGCCTCCCAGACGGAGCCTTCGGAGGACTCGCCATCTCCCATGAGGCAGAACACGCGGTAGCTGGGGCAAGCCAAGAAATGTTAAGAAAGACTGTGCTCAGCAATCTTCTGGGTCACTCAGGCAAATAGATATTATGGAGGGAAACGAACAAATAGTTGCTTCACATTGTCAATTCTGTCCAAACTGGACAGTTACGGAAACACAGCTTTAAAAATTTGGACCTCATAAAATGGACTTCAACTTTGGCAAGTTTTCTCATTCTAACATCCTTTTGCCACTTCTCTGCGATCCACAAACAAGAGGGGATGGGGCGAAAACAGTCCCCTTAAACACCCAAATGACATTTTAAATATAATTTCTCAGTAAGCTTCATGTTAAGCACTACCATCTTCTATTTCTGTTCTTACAAATTTACGATAATCGTAACAATCAAAACAGTCTACTTCAGGAGCATATATTCTGTTGTAAACTGTAAATTTTCTCCTCAACAAAAACACAAAAATGTTAATACCAATAAAACACAACCCATGCCCCACAAAAATGCTGCAAAATTTTAAAAAATTGTTGATTAAACCACAGGATAGGGACTAATAGAGACAGTCATGAGAAATGAAAGAGGCCCTGTAGAAAAAGAACCCTTTTGATTATTTTTTTAAAATTTTTTATTATTTCTTTAAAATATTTTTATTTATTTGACAGAGAGAGATCACAAGCAGGCAGACAGGCAAGCAGAGAGAGAGAGGGGGAAGCAGGCTCCTCACTGAGCAGACAGCCTGATGCAGGGCTCCATCCCAGGACCCTGAGATCATGACCTGGGCGGAAGGCAGAGGCTTAACCCACTGGGCCACCAGGCGCCCAAGCCGTTTGATTATTACCGTATGCGTCCCTCGTACAAGTGCACCAGCTAGTCACTGTATCATGAAGCTCACGGAGAGATGAAAAACAGAAAGCGATCGTTCTTGGAAAATAATGGAAGTAAACCAGTTTCTATACTGCAGAACCCAACCAGAGAAGCTAGAACAGTTTACAGAAACACGGTTTCTTTTCTGCTTGAACATTTGGTTGTCTGAACTTTCAAAACAATTACTAACTTCCCAAACTAATACGCCATACATAAAGCCAAGGGGCCTGAGGAATGGGGTGGAGCCTGGTAAGCAGTTGCTGGGTAAGTGCCTCACCTTGCTTTGTCAAAGTACTTGCCCGTGTATGCCATCCCGCAAGCGGCCCCCAGTCCTTGCCCGAGCCATCCAGTTGCCACATCAACAAACGACAGCCTCTGTAAAAGAAGGGATCAAATGAACCTAGACGCACAGGCTGTTCTTTGGAATGGCCCCTCCCACACTTTGGGGTTTCTAACTCTTTCCTACACTTACAGGCACCCCAAGTCTTGGATCAACATTACCAAGACAGGGGGAGTCACTGTAAATCCAGGTCAGGTGGACCTGTGAGGACATCCAGACTGACAATTTCTCTACACACAGTAGCCTCAACAGAGCCCAGGAGCAAAGCAGAAAACGTAAGCATGAGCCTCGCCATTTTCATAAGGTCTTTTATCTAGTCATGAACAAACCAGATGTTCAATCTTTTTGGAGAATGTGGGTTCTTAAATAGAAACCAAAAACACTGAAGAAGATTGCAATTTCCCTGGTTTGTAAAACCTCAGGTCAAATGAGATTTCAGAAGCGGTCATCTAGAAATGCCAGAAATTAATCACTACTCCACTACTACTCTTCCTCTCCCCTCCTCCTGTGCCTATGCACAGGCTATCTTTATCTCATGGAGAAAATACCCTCTGGGTGCCACAGGGCAGTTCCAAAGGTCCCAAGCTTCCAAAGACACACTGAACTTATTCAGTGCTTCCCCTGCCACCACCTTGAACTGGCCACATCTTTTGACTTTGTCACTGCAGTGACCTCCCAACTCCCCCGCCAAAGCTATTCTGAACACAGCCACCAGGGGGAGCCTGTTAAACCCCTTCCGCTCCCCACCCTGCAGAGACTGGTCCAAGGTCTCTCCAACTCCTGCCAATCAGAGCCCAAGTTCCTGCACCAGCCTGTCCACTCCGCCCCCATCTGACATGCTGATTATCTAGGTTTCTTGTCTCACCCTTCTCACCATGCAAGAGTCAGCTCCATTCAAGCAAATCATTAGGTTGTTGTTGCTACCAAAGACGGGCCAGTGGGGCTTGTTAGTCTCATCCCTCCCCATGCTGCTCCACCCTATTTCTCCACTCCTCCCAGGGTTCTTAATCTCCTCGAACTTTTCTTCACATGCTTTGTGCCCTTAGAGACTCCCTCTCTGTTCTGTATCCTTAGCCCAGCAGAACCCTCCCAATGAAGCGGTCTTCCACCCCACGGTTCCTAGCATTACTCCCATCCATAAGGTCTGGCCCCCAGTTGTCTGTGTGCCCTTGGACTGAGTCTGGGCTCTGCACTCAGACCCACTCTGCTTCCCTCTGGCTTTAAAGCGGGCAGGGAGGGGGGCAGTAAATAAGCTCACTTCTTCAAGGATTCTTCATTTTTGGGGTACAATGAAGAACCGCTGTCAGGCAGCAGGGGGCTGTAGGACTGATTGAGAAAACTAGCAGGCATCTGCACGATACCTGGCACCATGGAAGTATTCCCACATGGGTTCCCTTTTCTTCCGTAAGAATCCTTATGCTGGGTGTAGGGGGATACACTCATACTTTAGGGGGGACAAGAGCTAGAATAAAAACGCATATGAGGTACTGTGTGCACTCAGAAAGACTTCCCCCTTGGGTGGGATTTCTCACCTTTGTTCCGGCACAAAGTATGCTTCAAGAAAGAGTTTTTAAAAGGCCTTTTTTGGTTAAAAGGCCCACCCTGCCTGCTTGACTGAAGAAAACCATAGCCATTAAAACAAAAGCAAAGGCCTAGTGGTGGGGATTGGGGGAATCACAAGACCCTCCCCGCAAGCTTCCACAGTGATTCACAGCCAGCAATCCTGATACTGCTAGGCCTTCATTGTGGGCCTCCTACCACAGTTGTCTGCACTGCACTTTCAATGCCCCAGGAGCGCCGGTTGTGAGGACCTCGGCTCCTTTGCTGTAGCAAGTCCACTTATTCCATTCTCAGCCAATGCCAAGATGGACTACGCTCTGTGCTTTCTCCTTCCTCCTAATTCTGTTTCTTAAATCTGATGAGCATTTAAGTTCTGACAGCTAAACAGTGCCCAGCCTGCTACTGCACACCAGACCGCCTCTGCACCGCTCAGGCCAATGACTGTGAACGCGATAGCAGCAGTTATGTGATACTCTAGCCATCTGACTTTTTAAACCAGGGATCTGAATGTTCATGCTGTGTTTGTACATCTTCATTTGTTTGATTTTCATTGTGAAGGAAGGTCAAGCTTATAGAAAAGTTTTGAGAATAACACACTGAAGTCCCATATACTCTTCACCTTGATTCACTGCCAATGGGCCATTTTTGCTTCACCTTGTTCTTTCTACACACTCACAAATTTTAGTTTATTTTTTTGCCAAACCTCATTTGAGATTACATTTCAGACCCGAGGGTATGGTCAAAATTATGATCTCAGATACTCCACTCACACCCATATTCTGACTTTATTCTTTTTTAAGTAGGCTCCATGTCCAGTGTGGAGCCCAGTATGGGGCTTGAACTCACAACCATGAGATCAAGACCTGAGTTGAGATCAAGAGTCAGACACTCAACTGACTGAGCCACCTAAGCACCTGTCTTTATTCTTTAAACTAATTTACACAGCCCACATATGGGGTTTCTGTTTATACATGGTGCTGTACCAATTGAATTTTAAATGTTTTGCTTAGGACACAGCAAACTTTCAGATAGCATCAAAAGAACTGCATGTTCTTCTAGGTTGATCTTGCTTTTAAATTACTCCTCTTTCCTGTTACCTCAAATCATGAAGTACCTGGTATTATACTTAGTATAATGAGAAAGATCCCCATTGTATCAGATCAGATCTACAGAGATAGGGAAAATAAACGTAATTGACAAGTGGATGATCTCTCCCCAAATTAAGCTCAATTTTCCTTGAGGCTCAAGTAAGTCAGATCCACTGCTGCCCACCTCTATTCAGGTGGCAAAGTATTAGAGCATGATAGGTCAAAGAGAGCTTTGGTGCTAGATAGGATAAGGCAGGGCACCAAAAATGGAAAAAAAGTGGAGCCAGTTGCCATTAAGTCATCCTTCCCACCACTGTAATCCTTGCTAGAACACTTTTTAGATCTTTGTGAGATGCCATGCTCTGAATATCTGTGCCCCCCAAAACCTGTATGTTGAAAACCTAAGGCCCAAGGTGATGGTATTAGGAGGTGGGGGGGCTTTGGGTGGTGATTAGGTCACAAGGGCAGAACCCCCACAGATGAGATTAGAACCCTTATAAAAGAGACCCTAGATAGATTACTTCCCCTTCTGCTATGTGAGAATATAACAAATCTGCAACCAGGAAGAAGACCCTTACCAGAATGTGACCATGTGACCCTGACCTTGGACTTTCAGCCTCCAAAACTGTTAGAAATAAATTTCTATTGTTTATAAGCCACCCAATCTGTGGTTATTTTGTTATAGCAGACTAAACGGACTAAGACATGAGGCAAAGAAGGAAGAACCAAAAAGATCAACAGAGCCCATTTCAGGCCTTGTTGCCATACAGTACCTTTTAAAATGATTTTTAAAAAGTAAGCATCTGAACAGGCCCTGGGCTCCTGTGCTGGCTTACCTTGGAGAGGATGAAACGATCATTATCTGCATTCTCAGGATCCTCCTGTTTGTATCTCATGATGTGGAAGAACAGCACGGACATGATCTCAGCAGCACTGCTGCATGATGTGGGGTGGCTTAAAGACAGACACAGCACAGGTCATTTCTCACAGGTAAGTGACTCACCAGGGACACGGTGCAGGAGACCTTTTAGTACACAGACTCCTCAGACTGGAAGCAGCAGTCATTTCTCCCAGGCATGGAAGAATCCAGTCAAGGAAAAGGGATTCGGGGCCATTGCCTCCCAAGTTCCTAACTTTTAAGGATGCTGTAAGGCCCAGTAACCTCATAACCTCTCTCCGTGGAGAGAGAGATCTCCAAGACTACCCCCCTCTATCAATGGAGCACCTGTATACTTGGGGCAAGTTCACCTAATCACTCCGTAAGCACTTGAGTATTCTTTAATTTACTTGAGTTTATCCGTAATATCATTAAGTAAAAACACCATAAAGCAGAAATAAACCCATGCGTACATGAAAAACTATTTGATAAAGGAGCCAAGAATACTCAATGGAGAAAGGGCAGTCTCTTCAATAAATGGTGCTGGGAAAACTGGATAGTCACATGTGGAAACGTGAAAATAGAAATCCTACCTTACACCACTCACAGAAATTAACTTGAAATAAATTAAGACTTAAATGTAAGACCAGAAACCATCAGATGCCTAGAAGAAAGCAGGAAAAAACCTTGACATGGTTCCTCATACGGACTTTTTTTTTGGATAGGACAACTAAACCACAAGGAACGCAATAAAAAACAAGTGGGATTACATCAAACAAAAAAACTTTCTAAAAAAAGATTTTATTTATTGTCAGAGAGAGAAGGGGGTGGCTGGGGGAGAGAACACAAGCAAGAGGAGTGACAGGCAGAAAGAGAGGGAGAAGCAGACTGCCTGCTGTGCAAGGAGGCCGATGTGGGATGAGATCCCAGGTCCAGCTCACGTATGTTAACAATCTCTTCTTTCAAAGTTCACTATTAGAAAATGGAGACTTAAATCTTTTGCCTTGCAGGTATTTCCTAAGTGGATAAGGTTTTTTTTTGTTCTTTTCAAACGATTTTGTTCATGGGGAGCCTGGGTTAAGCCTCTGCCTTCAGCTCAGGTCATGATCTCAGGGTCCTGGGATCGAGCCCCTCATTGGGTTCTCTGCTCAGCGGGGAGCCTGCTTTCCCCTCTCTCTCTGCCTGCCTCTGCCTGCTTGTGATATCTCTATCAAATAAATAAAAATCTTAAAAAAAGATTTTGTTCATTTGACAGAGAAAGAATACAAAGAGGCAGAGTGGCAGGCAAAAGGAGAGGGAGAATCAGGCTCTCTGTGAAGCAGGGAGCCTGATCCGGGGCTTGATCCAAGGCCTTTGGGATCATGATCTGAGCCGAAGGCAGCCACTTAACTGACTGAGCCACCCAGGCGCCCATAAGTGGATAAGGTTTTAAAAATTGTTAGATATCTTTAAAATTTAAATAAATAAAAATTACTAGAGAAATCTTGTACAAAGCCAAACCACTATTAATTCTGAAGATGAAAAAAGCAAGAAGTGTAAAAGAAAATCCCAAAACATGCAGGTCTTAAATTCATGTAAACTGTACTTTTAATATCAAAGCTCAGGATAGAAAATAAGATTTTAAAAGAGATACCATGCAGAACATTCTATTCCACTAATACAGAAATTAGAAAGTAATAAAAGAAAACTGGAAAATCCACACATTTGTGGAAATTAAGCACTACACTCTTAACCAGTGGGTCAAAGAAGAAAACAGAAGAGAAATTAGAAGATACTTAAAAATGGAAATAGAAATACAGTGTACCAAATTTTATGGAATACAGCAAAAACAGTGCTAAGAAATTGACAGTTGTGAGTGCTTACATTAAAAAAGATCTCAAATCAAACCAACTTTACAACCTAAGAACCAGAAAAAGTAAACCCAAAGACACCAGATAGAATAATAAAGGTTAGAACAGAGAGACCAAGAAAACCCACAGGAAAAAACAAAAACAAAGGTTGGTTTTTTGAAAAGATAAACAAAATTAACAAATTTTTCTGCTAGACTAAACCAAAAAATTTTAGTTTTTAAATGTACTAAAGCAGGGGCGTCTGGGTGGCTCAGTGGGTTGAGCTTCTGCCTTCAGCTCAGGTCATGATCTCAGGGTCCTGGGAGTGAGCCCTGCATCAAGCTCTCTGCTCAGCAGGGAGCCTGCTCCCCCCCCCACCCTCTCTGCCTACTTGTGATCTCTGTCAAGTAAATAAATAAATAAATATCTTTAAAAAATATACTAAATCAGATTTGAAATTACTAATTTTTAAAAAAACTATTTATTTGCCAGAGCAGGTGCAAGGATGAGCATGCACAAGCAGGCGGAAGGGCAAGCAGTGGGAGAGGGAGGAGCCTCCTGCCAAGTAAGGAGGTCAACATGGGACTCAATTCCTGGCCCCTAGGATCATGACCTGAGCAGAAAGCAGTTAACTAACTGAGCCACCTAAGCGTCCCATAAAATTACAGATTTTATTTCAGAAATGAAGACAGTATTACCGTTGTACAGAGATAAAAAGAACTACATGGTACCGTGAAAAACTCTACGCCAATAAATCAATTAAACTACAACTTGTTTCAGGTCACCTGAATAGCTCAGTTCACAATCCCAGGGTCCTGAGATCAAGCCCCACAACCAGCCTCCCCGCTCAGCGAGGAGTCAGCTTCTCTATCTGCTGTGCCTCCCCCCACCCTCCTGCACTCGTGCTTCTCCGCCTGCGCCTTCCACTGCGCGCGCTCGTGCTTCTCCGCCTTTCCCGCCTCCTTCACTCGCGCTTCTCTGCCCGCCCCGCCTCCTGCACTCGTGCTTCTCCGCCTGCCCCTTCCACTTCGTGCACTCGTGCTTCTCCGCCCTCCCCTCCTCCTCCCTTCGTGCTTCTTCGCCTTTCCCGCCTCCTGCACTCGTGCTTCTCCGTCTGCCCCTTTGCTTCTCCACCTTCCTGGCCTCGTGCTTCTCCCTCTTCCCCTCCCCCTAGCGGGCGCCGCACACTCTCAAATAAAATCTTTTTAAAAAACCTTCAGAGATATGAAAAAAACCTAAGGAGTTTCTAGAAACAATTCAATAAGGCGGAACAAAGAAGAAATAGAAATTTTTATAAAATACTCTCCGTGCCCAATATGGGGCTCCAACTCACGACCCTGAGATCAAGAATCAAACGTTCTACCCACTGAGCCAGCCAGGGACCCCAAAAATAAATTCCAAATAAACCCGTAACTAATAAAGATATCGATTATGTAGTCAAAAACGCCTCTGCCGAAGGAAAACTCTCGACCTGATGGCTTCGCCAGCGAATCCTACCAAACAGCTAGAGAATTAACATCAATCCTCCTCAGAAGCTTCCAAACAAAACCGAGGGAACATCCGACTCCCTCTGAGGCCAGCACGGCCCTGAACTAAAGCCACACAAGCACCCCGCACAAAGCCAACATCTGTGAAAACACTGACGCCGAAGTCCTCACAAAATGCTAGCTGACCGCAAAGCCTCCCTTTGGCCAATTCTTCCTCGCCCCTCGCTTGCTTCTGTTACGCCCCCCAGGCGGCATCGAGGCGGCATCGGGACGGCATCGACGGCGAGCCCCGCCCGCTCCCCTTGCCCGCGCCAGCCCGGCCGCGCTCCCCCGGAATCATCACCGCTCGGCCACGCCGCGTTCCGGGCTCCTCCCTGCTGCACGCCGGAGGCCCTGAGAGTCGGGGCCGCCACCCTCGCCGTGGCGCCGTGGCCTCAGCGCCCCACGGTCGCAAACGGGGCTTCTACGACTGAGCCCGCCCAGCCCCCCACGGCTCCCTTCACCTCAGGCTTTTCTGTCGCTGCCAGACCGGCTGCTTGAGGCCACGAGGAATTGGGAGAGGGAACCTTACCCAGAGCTCGAAGTGCACGTGGCCCTGATGGAGTGGATACGCAGGCGATTGGCCATGTCCCGCAGCACCTGCACAGTCTTCGCGTCAGGCTTGGCTTCCTCGGCGGCCGTCGTGGTGCTCGGCTTGGCGTCCGCCATCGCTACCACCGTGGCCGGCGTCTGACGAGCGAATGCCGCTGGCTGTGTGAGGCTGTGCCTTATGGCTCCCGCGGGGTGTAGTGCGGCCCCTCGTGCGGTGCTGTGCAGATCCCTCCGCGTACAGCTCCCTCCGCGCGGTGCTTCGAGGGTCCCAGGAGCGGTGCTTCGACGCTCCCTCCGCGAGGTGCTGCGACACTCTCTGCGCGGTGGATTTTGAACACTTGTCTTTTGCCTGTGGGACATTGATCGAAATAATTTAATTTCTTTTTATATTTCTTTGTGCTGTCAATTCAAAGACGACTGCCTCTGCGGGGTGGGTGGGGGGAGGGTGGTTTTACTTTTGGGTGGTAAAACGGTTATGGAACTATATGTTGTGGTCGTTCCGCTCATGGCAAATGTATCAAAGGGGACTTTTTCACTCACTTTAAAGTGTTACAATAAGTGAAATCCTGTTTTACGCATTTAATCACAATATTTTTTAAAGAATAAGCCACGCTAGAATTTTACCTTTTGTTGGCCCCCGACCCTCACCCTCCAAACCAGCCTTGCCCCAGTTAGGCTTCTCAGGCAATGAGGCATGCTGTTCTGAAACAGCGTTGTCTCTTTCCGCTACCTCTTTTTCTCTTTCTAGAACCTTCTGTATGGCAAGCTGCAAGCTCCTTGTGATCCTTGAGGTGGCGTTAGCCCAACGCTAGCTACCCTGCAGCTTTCCTCAGGCAACTTGACTTCTGGGAGCTCCCATTTCCTCAAGGTCCCGATGTAGTCTCGGAGAGCTGGTCCTTCTGACTTTGAGGCAATCTTAAAAGAACATGAATGACTCGCCCCAGTGAATGACACCATCCCCACAACACTATATCCTAAGTTCAGATACTGGGGAGCATCTTAATTCAAAACTGCCGAGCTACTGAGAGCCCTTAAGCGCCACTGAATGCGGATACGCTCCCACGGTCTTGCTTGCGTAAAGGGCACATGCGCTGAAAATTTCATTTGATACTGCCTAATCGCTCCACGGAAGCCATGTGTGCCCCTACTGCAGCGTATGTGAGTGCTCATTTCCCCACATCCTCATCAACACTGGCTGTCATTAGTCTTTTTAACGTGCAGCATTCTGTGGATGAGAAAACAGTATTTAGTTACTACCTTGATTCCTGTTTGCCCGATATCTTTGCAGTCGCACATTTTTGCTGTGTTTATTGCCATCAGTAGTTTCTTGTTCCTGAATTGTCTATTACTATCCTTTACTGTTTTCATATTGGATTGTTTTAGCTTTCTAATTTGTAGGTATTTTCTACATACTGTGTTGACTAGCCTGTTCTCTATGAGAGATAATTGCAAATCTTTTCTCCCAAGCTGTTGCTATTTATTTCTTATTTATTTTTAACTTAAAAAATATTTTATTTATTTGAGAGGAGAGAAGGATGGCGGTGGGGGGAGGGGCAAGGGAGAGGGACAAACTAACTCCTGCTGATCACAGAGCCCCACGCAGGGCTGATCCCAGGACCCCAAGATTATGACCCTAACTGAAAGCAGATGCTTAACTGACTGAGCCACCCAGGCGCCCCTCAACCTGTGGCTTTTTAAAAAAGTTAAGCGATGGAGGCCTGGGTGGCTTAGTTGGTTAGGCATCTGCCTTGGGCTCAGGTTATGATCCCAGGATTCTGGGATCGAGCAGGAGTCTGGCTTCTTCCTTTCCCTCTTTTCCTCTGTCCCCCGCCCTCATGTGCACTCGTGGGCGCTCTCTTTCTCACACACACAAAAATAAGTTAAAAATTTTTTTTAAATGTTAAGAGAAACCTTATTTTTTAAAAAGATTTTATTTGACAGACAGACCACACAAAAAAAGGGGAAGAGCAGGCAGAAAGAGAAGCCTGACAGGGGGCTCGATCTGAGGACCCTGGGATTGTGGTTTGAGCCCAAGGCCAATGTTTAGCTGACTGAGCCACCCAGGAGCCCCTGAAAGCTGGTTTCAATGAAGTAAAATATATAAATCTTTTTATTTATGGAACGTTGGGTTCAGTCTTGTTTAGAAATGTCCTCTACATGAAAAGATTGTAAAAACATTATTATGTTTTTAATGCTTTTGTTGTTTCATTTTTATGTTTGGTTCTTTATTTACATAAGGTAGCACTTACAGCATACACAGGTGCTCAACATAACTTATTTTTTTTAAATAGCCAATTGTCCCAACACTATATTTATTATTCTTTTTCAAAAATGTCTTAGCTATTCTTTTACATTTTCTCTTTCAAGTTAATTTTGGAAGCAGCTAATTTAAGATTTATAAGACACTTCTGTTGGGTTTTTAATTGGGATTTCATTGAATTTATAGGTTGATGTGTAGAGACTGACATATTTATGGTATTGTTTTCTTCAAGACCATGGTACAGAGTCATTGATAATCACATTTAATTGGCATCCTATTTTATATTTTTTATTTGCCCTAATATCTTGTTTCTTTCTGTGCCTCCTTTCCTTCCTTTTTTTGGATTAACAGAGTGCAATTGTTTTTCTCTTCTTGGTTATTTGGATATTATGTACGTGGCTTTTTTCCCAGTGGTTAATTTTCCACCAATGTATTCTCTCAATTCTGAGTCATTAATGATACCTCTATCTATATCTAAATTCCACAGCAAAACCAGTCTTTAGTTTTTATTTGATTTTTTTAAAGATTTGTTATTTATTTATTTGACAGACAGAGATCACAAGTAGGCAGAGAGGCAGGCAGAGAGAGAGGGGGAAGCAAGCTCCCTGCTGAGCAGGGAGCCCGATGTGGGACTCGATCCCAGGGTCCTGGGATCATGACCTGAGCTGAAGGCAGAGGCTTTAACCCACTGAGCCACCCAGGCGCCCCCACAATAGAACCAGTCTTTAACGAATTTTAATTTTCTCTATTTCCTACTTCCTTTATATTTTATTTTTTTATTTTTATTTTTTTTAAGATTGTATTCACTTATTTGACAGACACAGATCACAAGTAGGGAGAGAGGCAGGCAGAGAGAGAGGGGAAGCAGGCTCCCCGCTGAGCAGGGAGCCCGATGCGGGACTCGATTCCAGGATCCTGGGATCATGACCTGAGCTGAAGGCAGAAGCTTAATCCACTGAGGCACCCAGGTGCCCTATATTTTATTTTTTTAAAGATTTTATTTGTAAGAAATTACTACACCCAATGTGTGGATTGAACTTACAACCCTGAGATCAAGAGCTGGGAGCTGTACAGACTGAGCCAGCCAGGTGTCCCCTACTTCCTTTTTTAAAAAGATTTTATTTATTTATTTTGACTGAGGGAGAAAGAGAGCACAGAAAGCAGGGGGAATGACAGGCAGAGGGAAAAGGGAAAGCAGGCTCCTGGCTGAGCAAGGAGCCAGATGTGGGACTTGACCCCAGGAGGATCATGACTTGAGCTGAAGGCAGACTCTTAACCAACTGAGCCACCCAGGCACCCCTATATGAACATAGTTTAAATCAGGGCTCAGCCAACTTTTTCTATAAATGGCCACATAGTAAGTCTTTGAGGCCATGTGGTCTCCTTTGTGCAGTTTTGTGGCACAAAAGCAGCCATAGACAACACATAAATGAACAAGTGTAGCTGTGTGCCAATCACACTTCGTTTATGGTCACTGAAATTTGAATCTCCTATAATTTTCACATGTCACAAAATACTCTTCTGATTTTTTTCAACAATTTAAAAATGTAAAAACTGGTGTGCTTGGGTGACTCAGTTGGTTGAGTGGCTGACTCTTGATTTCATCCTGGGTCATGGTCTCAGGGTACTGGGATGCCTGAGTGGGGCTCTGAGCTCTGTGCAGAGGTGGCTTGAGATGATCTTTCTTCCTCTCCCTCTGCCCCTCCCCCGCTGCCTGCTTGTCTGTGCTTGTGCTCAATCAGGAGTGCTCTCTCTTTCTCTATAAAGATAAATAAATCTTTTTAAAAACTTTATAAAAAATAAAAATGTAAAAACCATTCTTAACTTACATCTGTACAAAATAAAGCCATGGTTGTCTAACCTTCAGCTTGAAGAGTTAAATGGTTCTACAAATTTATTGCAAAAAATGTCAATCCCGGGGCGCCTGGGTGGCTCAGTAGGTTAAGCTTCTGCCTTCAGCTCAGGTCATGATCGCAGGGTCCTGGGATCGAGCCCCACATCGGGCTCTCTGCTCGGTGGGGAGCCTGCTTCCCCCTCTCTCTCTGCCTGCCTCTCTGCCTACTTGTGATCTCTCTCTCTCTACCAAATAAATAAATAAAGACAAATCTTTAAGAAAAATGTCAATCACTGGTTTCCACCCACTAAATTGTCCACTCCACCCACTAAATCATCCACTCCCTAGAATCAACCACTTTCAACCTTTATGGCTCTTTCTTTTGGTATTTACCTCCAATTATCTAAAGAAATAATTTTTTGTTTTGTTTTGTGTTTACTTTAAAGATTTTATTTATTTATTTGAGAGAGAGTGAGCACAAGAGTGGGGGGGGCAGAAGAAAAGGGGGAGGGACAAGCAAATTCCTTGAGTGGGGAGTCCGACACAGGGTCTGATCTCAGGACCCTAAGATCATGAACCAAGCCGAAGGCAAATTTCTTTTTTTTTAGATTTTATGTATTTATTTGACACACAGAGGGAGATCAAAGTAGGCAGAGATGCAGACAGGGAGAGAGGGGGAAGCAGTCTCCCCGCCAATCAGGGAGCCCCATGTGGGGCTCGATCCCAGGACCCCGAGACCATGACCTGAGCCACAGGCAGAGTCTTAACCCACTGAGCCATCCAGGTGCCCCAGAAGGCAGATGTTTAACTGACTCCGCCACTGAGGAGCCCCTAAATAAATCATTTATACCATTTTTTATTTTTATATTTTAAGAATTATTTATTTATTTCACTATAGAAGATGATAATGTGGGGCGCCTGGGTGGCTCAGTCGTTAAGGGTACTGGGACCAAGCCCCGCATCGGGGCTCCCTGCTCAGTGGGGAGCTTGCTTTTCCCTCTCCCACTCCCTCTGCTTGTATTCCCTTTCTTGCTG